CCTAAGAGCAATGGCCTCCAACCTAAGAGCGATGGCCTCCAACCTTAGAGCAATGGCCTGCAACCTAATAGCGATGGCCTGCAATTTGATAGCGATGGCCTGCAATTTGATAGCGATGGCCTCCAACCTAAGAGCAATGACCTGCAACCTAAGAGCGATGGCCTCCAACCTAGTAGCGATGGCCTCCAACCTAGTAGCGATGGCCTCCAACCTTAGAGCAATGGCCTGCAACCTAATAGCGATGGCCTTCAACCTAATAGCGATGGCCTGCAACCTAATAGCGATGGCCTGCAACCTAATAGCGATGGGCTGCAATCTAATAGCGATGCCCTCCAACCTAAGAGCAATGGCCTCCAACCTAAGAGCAATGGCCTCCAACCTAAGAGCAATGGCCTCCAACCTGAGAGCGATGGCCTCCAACCTAGTCGCGATGGCCTCCAACCTTAGAGCAATGGGGTGCAACCTAATAGCGATGGCCTGCAACCTAATAGCGACGGCCTGCAACCTAATAGCGATGCCCTCCAACCTAAGAGCAATGGCCTCCAACCTAATAGCGTTGGCCTGCAACCTAGTAGCGATGGCCTCCAACCTAAGAGCAATGGCCTGCAACCCAAGTAGGAGCAAGGACGCTACTAGTAGCTCCCGGCATCGCTACTAGGAGCTAGTACGCTACTAGGGGCTCCTGGCATCGCTACTAGGAGCAAGGACGCTACTAGTAGCTCCTGGCATCGCTACTAGGAGCAAGGACGCTACTAGGGGCTCCTGGCATCGCTACTAGGAGCAAGGACGCTACTAGGGGCTCCTGGCATCGCTACTAGGAGCAAGGACGCTACTAGGGGCACCTGGCATCGCTACTAGGAGAAAGGACGCTACTAGGGGCTTTTGGCATCGCTACTAGGAGCAAGGACGCTACTAGGTTCACCTGGCATCGCTACTGGGTTTTAGAAAAAGGGGGTTCTGGTCGCACTTGATATGCGAACGTGAATTGTGAGCATCTGTGCATTATAGCGTAAGTCATGTCCCTTTTCATTGGCCTTCTCCCGTAAGAGCCGCTGTAGAGAGCGGCTGAGTATTCCTCACAGTCCAGAGCGGAAGATGTTTGCCGTGTTGAGTGTACAGGCCCAAAGCTTCTTGGATGGAGAAGAAAAGGCCAAGGCCAAGGGGAAGGCAGGATTCGGTCTTGAGTCACTTGAGTCACTTCACTCTTTTAGATTCCATTATGTTGAGCCATTTTCGTTTGGACCCAACGTTGAGCATTTCTGGGCGGGATTGTCCAGTTGTGTCGAGGTTGCTGCTGATCCTGAATCCCCAGATGTGGCTTGCGACCACTTGGATGGCTCCAACAAGGAGAGAAGGGCACCTCAAAGAAACGCTAAAAACAAATCCGTACACAAATTGTGTTTCCTTGCAAGTCCAAAAACCACATGTCATTTTGAGCTGTCTGCAGGGACGGCGGTGGAGACGCAGTTTGTTGCAAATGAGCTTTGTGGGTGTGATGAGGGTGGCAGAGCTTGTGTTTTGTGCAGTTTTCTTTGCAAATGTTCTTGAATCCCTTGCTCAGTTTTCCACAGTTGTCTTGGGCCTGGTGAGTTGGGGTCTTGGAGCGACTTGTGAACTTAAGTTTCCCAAAAATCGAGGAACCAAATGAATAGCGTGAACTATGCTGTGTCCATATGATGTCCATATGTAGTAGCGTACTAGTAGCTACTAGCTAGCTATCTTCTACTAGCTACTAGCTACCTAGCTCCTACCTCTGCGGTCCTACCCCCCCTTTAAAAATGTTCAATGTGCATTGTCTTTCCTTTCAGGCTTAAAGTACGTGGCGGCTTCTTTCACCGAAACCATCAAGGACCGAGTTGAGACGAACGTCGAGAAAGGGATGAAAACGAGTCTTGTTCTTTCTCCGGCCGCCAAAAATAAGCCTTCCGGGACCATGATCTGTAGGTTGGAGGACCATGATCGCTACTAGGAACAAAGGGCATTGCTACTAGGAGCAAGGACAATACTAGGGGCTCCTGGCCTCACTACTAGGAACAAGGACGCTACTAGGAACAAAGGGCATCGCTACTAGGA